ATATGTGATTTGGTGTGGATGCGTATCAAGCCTATACTCAGAAAAATTTTGAGCCCTAACGGGAATTGAACCACGTAACCTTCTGATTACCGGACAGACGCTCTAACCATTGAGCTATAAGGCATCAGATGGTCAAGTATATAGTAGTACAATCTTATATATATATATATATATATTAGAACAAACCAAACAAATTTAACAGGCACGCAATGACCCGAACTGCTGTTGTGGTGACCCTGCCCTAGTTGGCGAAGCTAATAAAAAAAACAACTTTATACAAGTTTGTACAACTTGGTACAAGTTGCCAATGTGCTGCTACAAGTTCTCAAAGTGCTGGTACCCCTTGGTACAACTTGCCACCTTGACCGACCTATTATATTGCGATGCTACATGTGCTGCTACAAGTTCTCAAAGTGCTGGTACCCCTTGGTGCAACTTGCCACCTTGACCGACCTAGTGTAATATTCTAAATTTAACTATATAAAATTTATGTAAATTAGTAATGTTCAATGTAAAAGTTTGATTAACCTAAAATTGGAATCGTTATATATAATTAACTAAAATAAATAACGTGCTATATAATAATAATGGACAGTCTCCGACAATTCAGTAAGTTTTTTTTTAGAAAAAAAGTTATATTTCGGTATTTTGAAAAGTGAACTTTGTTGCATCATTTGGAATAAATACAACAGCTGCAAGTATCCGTGATACGGGCTAGCACGTATCAGTTACGGATGCCGCGTTCGCGTCATAGCCTTTTGCCCACGCGTTTTCAGTTTTGATTGTATATCAGGTGCCATTGACGTCAAATCAAATCGATGCTGGTGTATAAATGCAGTTGTCACGCAGTACCACATCATACCGGCTAGTCATTCAAGCAATCGACACGAAAAACAACCAACTGCAAATTTGTTAGATGGCCGGACCTATTGGATATCTATTCCACCGATCGTCGGGTAAACTCGTTCATCCTAAAGGAGGTTCCTCTGATCCAGGGAATAACACCTCGTTAGTCCTTTATGATGACAGGAGCAATGCCGGCCGGCTCCAAGTTAGGTTCGTACCAGCTGAAGGATCTGGGCATTTTGGCTATATTCAGCATGTATCGAGTGGTAAGATTGTGCAT